TAACAGATAAAATATCAGGAATGGGTGGGTGGTGATGGAATATTTATATTCAAAACTTTGCATGATTTTCATTCAATGTATTTAGATTTTGTGGCTGTGGGTTCTTAGAAAATTACAGTGATCTGAAGCCTTGATTCTTCATTATACACACTGCAGGTGTTGCCCTTTGCACACGTGAGCAACGATAAGAAATTTGTCACACTGATTAATCCTCAGGCAGTGGATCTTGATGCTTACAAGAAGAAGCTGGAAGAAGCAATAAAAATATATGAAAGGCAAGTCTGATTAGCAGGAATTTTGCATGTAATAGAATTTATTGGTGAATCCGACCACATGGGAGCCTGTGTGGTTGGCCATCTATTTTCTGGTACCTGAGTTTATGGACAGGTTATAGTGATCTGCTCCAGACATGGGGAACAACATGGCAGGAAGACAGTGGTAGAAGTGACCAGAGATTAAAAAAAGAGAGGCTGATTGTCATTGGACAGCCAGCATGTACCAGATTGGTTCTATTTAACTGAATACAACTGATGCCTAATCAGCATTTGCTGTGTCCTTCTTATGCTGTCCTTGGTTAAAATCACTGTGTGATTGAAATCCACAAAACTGGTACTTTTTATAATGAACTAGCATTTGTCAGATCAGGATATAAACAAACCCCCTATTCAAGATCTGTTCAGCTGTTTATACACATTGGCTGGGCTTACATGACTGGGGAAGAAAAATTAGGCACTATGTATGCCTAATGCATGCTACCCAATTACCGTAATTACTCTTCCCAGAGGCAGCTTATCATAACATCTGAACCTTACGGGAGGTGAGTTTACAAACCACCCTGCAACCCTAGAACAAGCCATGGGTTCTTGTGTGCTTTGGAAACCTACCTGCAACCCACCCTTGCCAGGGTTGGAGAACAAAACAATCCACATCTGACAAGGATAATTGTGATCATTTGGCACACCAATGGCATGGGCAGTGTGGGAAAATAAACCATGTTAGGATTATTTTCCTTTCCTGATTGTGCCGTCCTGGCTGTTAATATTTATTTGAAATTTTTAGGGGGTTAGAAGTAATGTGTGATTTTTCTTGAATTTTAAAAATCTCTTTGAAGAGAGAAATGCTTAAAAATTACAAAGTAACACTCTGCTTTAACAAAAAATATAACAAGGACTTTATTAACTGAAGCAGGCAGTTTTTCTCCCAGTGCAGTGTTTTATTCTACAGCAGTTACTTTGGTCAAGTTACCCCATATTGAAACTTGGCCTCTTTGTATTTCTGCTTGGTGAAATCTCATGAGGAAAACAGCAACTGTTTCAAGACCTGTAATGCTTTTTTAGGTCTGGAGGGGTTCAAGAGGCCAAGTTTCAATACAAAGTAATTTAGAAATGATCAAGCAATAACTTTAAATTTCTTTCTGCCACATCTGTTCAGATTTGTCTATTATGATATGAACAGTGCATTATATTTCTGGGAATTGAATTTGGATGGGTCGCAGTGCAAATTTCTGAATTGCGATTAGTTTAAAATGTATTCGACACCTGCTAAATTGCACCATTTGTTTTTGCATATAAAAGCTTTAACAATAACAACAAATAAGGATGCATGGCATTAACTTCTGTTCTCTAGATTAATAATCTAAATGCTGTTGACGTGAAATCTAAATGAAGCAAAACATGGGGGCAACAATAATTTCATGCCTTTTAGACGGAAAGTATGTTTCTTCCAGGCAGTAAGCAAATTCATACACTCACACACTGAAAAAAGAGGTTCCAAGGCTGCAAACAGTTATGGTGTAATATATAAAAATGAGCTGGTGTTTGACAAGATGTGCCTGTCAAAGATACATATCACAGCATTTTCAGATTTTATACTTGTGAAGAAAATCCAGACTTGGTGACCATGTGACACAAAAATTACCCTAAAATGCTTTGTTCTGCCCTGGAATGCACAAATGCCTCTGGCATGTTGTAGAGAAGCATGCCTGAGGGACATATCAGTGCTTCAAAGAGAGATGAGGATAATTCAGTGTTGCTACTGTATTCCATCAGGCTAGGGTAAGCCTTATTGAACCTGCGAGATCTGGCACTTAACCCAGAACTGCTTTATAAGAAGCTTCTGTTTTGCAGCATGCAGTTTTCTGTATCCTTCACCAGAATTTTCCATGGATGGGAAGAACTTGCTGATTACCCTGCAAGGTGGTTCTGTTTGTTACAGCAGCTGCTTGAATTAAATTGGGCTCTATTAACAGACTACTAGTTTGCTGTCAGAATGATGAACTCAAAGGATGATTCCACAGGCCAGTGGAACAGCACATGCCCCTGTATGCTGGAAGTCACAAATCAAGTCCAGGCATTGCCAGTTAAATGGTCAGGTGATAGGTAATGGGAAAGAGCGTTTCTGGAGACCCTAGTGAGCTATTGCCAACCTGAGTGGGCACTACTGGGATAGATGAATCAAAACCCTAGCTCAGTCTATCCTATTAAATGCCCTGTATTTTGTTTTATGCTTTGTCTGGTTTTGATTTTATTGTTTTGTAGATATTGCTTAGGTCAATAGTTCTGACAGAAAGCATTCATTCAGCAACAGCTGTGTATGATCTGGATCAATCTAAATCTGATATTAAAAATCCAGTTTATATAGACAGTCTATAGGCTCCATCAAGTTAATTGCAACTAAAATCTGTTGGAATCAAACCCAAAAGGAAACAAGACACTCATATTTAAGTGTAAATCCAAGGGTGAACAGCTTCCTCATACCACTTATTATTATGGGGCTGGATTCAGATTTAGTCCTACTTAAAAGTAGAGTCAGCAAAATAATTGGTACTTAAGAGAGCTATTAAATTAGAATGCATTGGTTCCAGTGTCTACTCCATGTATGACTAAAGCTGAATGCAACTCAGAGAGTAGATTTATGAATAAACTTAATATATAATTGGCACATATAAAGTACTTTAGTATATCTCTTAGTATCACCTTGGTGGGAGGCTTAGTTGAAGGCAACAAAGAGAAGGGCTTTTGCAGTGATGGCCCTCCCATTAGGGAACAAGCTCAACCCTGAGGTCTGCCTGGCGCCAACCTTGCTATTTTTTCTGGGCCAGATAAAGACTATCCTCTCCTGCAGGGCATTCAAGTAGCTCCTCGGTCCTTCTAACTGTTAAATGGGTCTGAATATTTTTCTTCTTTTTTCTTTTCTTATTTAGACTATTTTATATATTTCAACCTGTTTAATATGTGGTTTAAACTTTATATGATAAACTTTTAATGATGTTTTAATATGTTTTTAATACAATGTATCTTCTGTAGTTGTTTTAATGCACTTTGTGAACTTCCCAAAGAGCTTTGACTGATAGGCAGTACAGAAATTGAATAAAGAAACAAAAATGTGTTTTAAGGCAATACCCAAGCAAACTCTTGTGTACTTGGGTGTTCACCTTTGTTTTCATCACATGTACCTTCCTCAATTATTGAACTTGCTCCACTGAATGGTGGAAGCCATTCAGCTCTTCCCACTGACAGAACAGTTTCCTATCATTGGAACTGGTAGGGGGACTGCTCCTCTTCCCCCTGCTATTCCCTAAAACCCCCTCAAAATTGACTCCAGAGGGTTGCAGGTGCCTCTGGAACAGATTTTGCAGGGGAGGGGAAGGCATGTAGGGAGGAGAACAGGAGGAAATCTTAAGGGAGTTTGTTCGTGCTATGTTTGCCTCTGCCCATATAATGGAACAAAAACATGAAGGCTGGAGACAGTTGGGAAGGAGAGTCCAGGAACTGCTCAGTCTGTGTTGCATGATGAACTCAGACTAACGAGCCAGTCCAGAATCAGCAGGTTTATAAGACCAGGTGGAATCCTGCTAGCAACTTGTGTCATCTGATACATGTTGAGATAGTTCCTTCTTTTGTCTGTTTGTGATGATGGTACAGTAGCAGTGCATGGAGAATAGGCCTTTCCCATTTCTATAGCAAGCTGCCCTGCTGAGGAAGAAAGAAAGGTTATGGAATAGTCCATTATTAAGTATTTATATTTATCTATTTGATTTGTATGCCTCCCCATTAGCCATAGGCTCTCTGCTCAGCTCACAACATACACAAAATGATTCACATTAGATTTGAATGTCCTTGTTGGCAAATGGGGGCAGTTTGCCACCTCTGTTCAGAACTGAGATTGCTACAGTTTGCTTTTAGAATCACATGTTCCATTTTATTCAGTGTTGGTAAGCACAATGCTGGCTCTCCAATGGTGCACTGACAGCACAAACTTTTTTGTGTTTTCCTTTATAGGCGCCTCAGTCAAATTATTTGGAGAGCATTGCCACAAGAGGAAAAAGAGAAGTAAGATGCTGCCTTCTTTCTTTCCAGCTCAAGGTTTTAATTTTTTAAAAGTATTGATGGAAGAGGAACCACTAATGCTAGGATCTTCAGCATCAAGCACTACCAGATAATTCAGCGGAACCAAATTGTTTTGTTTTAAAGTGTGGTGGTGGCCATTAGAATGCTATGAGTGGGTTTTGCCTCAGTAGGTCATGATTTGACTTAAGGAACTGTAGTATATTAGCTTGTATTCCTGCACCTTTCCCATGTTTTTCCCAAGGATGCATCAGAAATGTTTCCCATTACTGGAGTACCCATTTCATGGTGTAACTTGCACATTCTTGCCCTCTGATAGCAACACTAGTAAGGGTAAGGCCTGCCCATCTCGTCCAGCATTCAGTCTTCTGCCATGGCAACCCACAACGAAGGAAAGGCTTTCTACTGATGTTCATGCAGAGGGTTGAGAGCAAGGTTTGTTTCAGAGTGGCTTATCTTTATCCAAAATTTGTCTAAAAAGCCCAGATTCACTTGTGCATGGTTAACAAACCATGCTGCTGGGTTCAGACAAGATAACAATCCCTCCTGAGTCAGAGTTGGCTCACAAGCCACCATGCCTTATTGTATTTTACATACCCCGTCACTGTATTTGTAAGAGCCCGTTTATCAACCTCCGAGAAGATGCTATGAAGGCTGGCATTATTTTCTTTATTACAGTCTCTGCTTTTAACAGCATTATAACAGCTTTCAATAGCTGAAATTCAACTCACACGATTTACCCTTAACTTCTAGACACCTTCTGCAGGTCAAAGCAGCTGTTGAAGTTTCAGGGCATCACCCAGAAAGAAATGGACCAACTGCTGCTTTGAAGCATGAAACTGCACTTGGCCAGAGTGTTTTTTCAGAGAGGCTGGTTCTTATTTTTCTGCAGGAGCCAATGTTGCAGACACATAGGGATGCTTTATTGTTGTAATGTTTCCTGTTATTTGAACACTGCATCCACAATGCTTATGACTAATGTTGTCTAGGCTCGCAAGTCAAGTGTAATATTTGTGCTTAGGTTTAAACACGACAAGCCTGTATCCTATGTGGACCACAAGGAATCTTTGCTACAGGGCTTAGAAAATGCCGGTTGGCCCATCACCTATGACGAAGTGATGTTGTTAGAAGATGAGATTCTGACAGGATTGACTTACCTACATCAGGCCACTGAACTTCAAGCAGCTTCCAGAGAAGAAGCCCAAAGAATTTGCCCACTTCAGATCAATCCCACTAAAGAGGTAAGCTACTGGTATTTCAGTATTACTATTCTGTGCTACATTACAAGTTACAAGGTCAATATGTAAAATCAGTATTATACAGGGAAGAAATAGAACCAGGAACCAGACACATATATAATACATTAGCAATGATATCCAATGCTACTTTTAAGATATTTTCAATATATTGAAATAGTGAGTATTTTTTAAGGTCAATAGATCTGAAATGCTATTTGCATAACAATGATACAGCGTTAACGATGAAGGAGAGTTGTGCATCTGTATTGTCTCTAAAGCAAAGAACTTGGACATGAGCCATGTTATACTCAAAGCAAATCTTGTTCTCTGCAAAAACCAAACAACCAATGAAAAAGGAATGCTTCTTCATCATGAACAAAATATTCTTGCATAATTTATACCAAAAGATGCATTCTGTCACGTGTAGGCACATGTATACACTTGGTAGTAACTTGGTAATATGAATGTGCAGCATTCTCTTATGCTTCTAAACTTAGTGTGAATGTATGTTTCCATAAACCTCAGTATACTTAAGGAGAAAGTGAAGTGTAGCACACCAAGCTGCAATTCTTAGCTGGGAGTATCATGCTCATAACTCAGTGAGACTTCATTCAGCGTAGGCATGTCTAGGATGGGACTGATAATCAGTCTGGCTTTAAATATACTTCATTGGAAGGAAATAGGCTGCTGTTACTTGGCAATGACGTTATGGGCTGCGCTTTGATTGACTGATGTAATCTGTAATTGAAATAGGCAGTTGATAAATGAAAATGTCTGCCTAGCAGGATTATGCTAAACAATCTATTCAGTTGGAGAAACAAAGACATTATTGAGAGGAAGGTTATTAAAATGCTAATAAATCTTTTAAAAAGGGACAGTTTGGTAAGCATAATAGAGGAAGCTTATATTTGGAGTGAAGGCCAGACCTTGGTGATGTGTCCAGTTACACATTTCTTTTTGCTACCCATTAAACAAAGAGTTCTTGCATTCCAATGGGGAGGACTTTAAAAATGTGTCCTATCCTGTCCCATAGTTCACTAGAATTCATTTTTGCAGCTCAATGGTGGAGCACTTGCTGTGCATGGAGAAGGTTCCAAGTTCAACCCCCTGCATTTCCAGGCAGGGCTGGAAAGTTTCTTGCCTGAAACTCTGGAAAGGTCCCAACTTAGAACAAAGCAGCTTTTTATGGTCTTATCTTTTGGGCAGCTTAATAAAGGTATCACAGCAACGCAGTCAACATCCCTTTCCATGCTCTTTTGGGGAATTCCTAAGGAAGTATGGATAGAATTGCAGTCTTAATCACATTGCACAGAAGAATTTAATACATGCACGGCATATGGGGTTTCTGATTATAGCCCAAGAGTTTGGCTCTTGGAATTCTTTAAAATATTTTTGGGAAAAACCTTGCTTTTCCAGTTAAAAGGGCATAGAATGTATAAAGGAGAGACACTGGAGTGATGAGAAGATCTAGAGCAGAAGAAAGCAACTGGGAAACTGCAGATGTTTTAGGCTATTCATTCACATAATCCATGATCACTTACTGTGCTGGTAAGAGTTTAGTTTAAAACATCTGGAGGGTACCAGATTGCTTGTGCTGATGCAGGCAGAAGCTAGTCTGATTTCAAGTGTCACTGTGAACATTAGATAAGATACAGAGATTATCCAGAGTCATATTTAATGTCTTCCTTAGTGACTACCTGTAAGCTTCCCCTGGGGTAGTGGTCCCTTATCACAGCTACCTGAGCAAGGTTATAGTGGAGAGGGGCCTTGGTGGGGATCCCTGGATCCCTGAGGTCAGGGTCACTCCCCCTCCTCAAGAGACTTAATTTTGCTGGTTTGTGGCTGGCACCTGCCACTGTATCTGGGTCCTGAATTTAACGGGTTAAGAACAAGGATGTTTTTTTCCAACAATTCCCAACTTTTCCTAGGAACTTCTTATCTGGAGGGGCCTGCCAGGCATGCACATGCGTTTTTTGTGGCACTTTCCCTCATGGTCAAACTCTGTTCCTCAGCAATATGTATCAGCTTGCTTTTGCTGTGTCCCCTGCAAATCCCATTTATTTATGCCAAAAGGAGAAAGAATGGCTAAAGTGGAATAAAAGTATCGTAAGTATATCCATTGAAATCAATGGGAATACTTAGCCCTGATTTCTGATCGCCTTAAGTTCCTCTTACTTTAGTTAGGCTACTTTACGTGTGATTCAGTGTGAGCACAATAATTGATTATTGGATATTGCGAGAAACTGGAACCCCTAAACTATGGACTCTGGACTAATGGAGGATCTCCCACACCTATGCACACACAAAGTCAGTGGTTGCAGAGGCCACAGAACATTAAAAGAACCCAAACAGTGAGTGTCAATCCAGACTGCTGCTCTTGGGAGAATATAACTACATATGTTTCTATAAGTGTGGGTAATTAATGCCCGAGCTTCTTTTTTCCTCTTCCTTCCCCCTTGTATATCATGTTTTTAGACTGTAAGCCTGTGGGCAGGCACTGCCTTGTTAATTCCACATAAACCACTCTGGGAGCTTTGTGGCTGAAGAGTAGGGTATGAATGTAATTGTAAAAACTCATTCATAATAAATAAGATAAGAAGAAATTCCTGGCATTCATTACTCAACAGAAATTCAACCAAGGTGACAAACCCTTTTTACTGCATAATCATAGGTTGCCTAATCTTGGAAGTGGGCATGGCTCTGATGGGGCGTGGCTTTGAGGTGTGGCTCTGACTATCATGAAGGGATGGATCCCCAATTCTAAATGTGTCACTACACCACTTTGCCTGAGTGTCACAAAGCATCTCTCACACAAGCTGCCTCCTCCCTATAAGGACGGATCAAGGGCATCAGCATCTTGCTTGGGTCACAGCCCCTCTGTCCTTGATTCTCACAAGTGTGCATCTTTTCTTACCAATATTTGGGAAGGTGGATCAGAACTAGGCAGGCAACACTTTCTGCTTATCCTCTGCATAATAAGTAGATTATATTTTCAATAGTGGACCCAGAGGTGAGAACAAAGGGGTGCTTCCAGTTTTATATTTGTTCAGCTTACTGACTAGAGGATATGAGTCTAATCTAAATAAAATAATTAATAATTAAACATAGTCTTTGGGGCTCTTAATATATTCCCTAAGGTCTTTAATATGTTTATTCTTTGGAGATATTAAATTAATTAGGTAGCTGATGATAATCTCCTTTCTCTAACATCAGTTTATACTTCATTTGTGCAGTAGCAGAAATATTTCTATGTTTCACTGGCTCATTCTGGATATTTGTCTTCCTGCTGTCCTGACATGGCAACATATGCTACACACCATGATGTGATTAACACTGGGCAATCACTTATCCTGAGACAACCTGCTTTAGCAGCCTAATCAGAGCACCGTCATGAGTAATTGCTAATCTGCAACTCTAAAGGTTTAGCAGTGAGTGGCAGAAATTCAGGCAGCATTCAAAATTGCATTGAGATCAGTGTAGAAATAAAATGTTCAAAATTATTACTCTTTCTTTCTTTTTCTTTTTTGGCTTGTTATTGCCTGTTCCTAGATGAAAGCACACTTGACTTTTCTTTGCCCTGATGTGTGTTATGTTAAAAAAAAAAGTTCTTTAAAAAATGATTAGCTGAAGGTACAATTTTCCCTCTTATAGCACTAAAGGAGTATGCAATGCTACTTTCTTGGAGTTAATACTGCTTAAAAAGACACAGAAACCACTGATGATCTCATTGCTGCTTGAAGAGAAATAGTACTCCTTTATGAGCATCCTTAGTGACCAACTTTCTACTGAAGCCTACTGCTGAATTGATACGGATTTTCAAAAATGTTCAAGAGTTGCATGATTGACCCTGTAGGCAGAGTTGCATTACTGCTTTTGCATTCTGAAGGATGTGAACATGTTTTTTTTTTAAAAATCTGGTAGGCATTCACACAGAGCTTTGGGGATCTTGGTGTCTTCTAGAAGACAGAACTTTGTGGGGCAATTACAAATTTTTGTAATTTGTATACAGTGAAAGTTGAGTTAGATTGTCTATCAGTTCAATTTTGTTATCTAGAAAATGAAATATTCTCATAATTACAAAAGCCTAGAGTTAGAATATAAAGGTGAATGAGTATTTAGCATTTATATAGCATATTTTCAAAAGTTCAGTGCAATTTGCATATATTATCTCAGTGATGATTACACAGCCTGTATGAAGAGTTTGCATGGGTTATCATCTCATTAAGGTAAATGGGTGTGGCAAGCAATGGGATCTAAAATGAGATCTAGAAGATTATAAGTTTCTCTGCAAAGATTGGACTGTTGTTTAGATGTACTTGCTCAGTCAGTTTTTCTCATGAGAAACCTGTTTCCTCAGATGTGGTTTTTAGCTACCTCTGCAATTTTTAGCACAGGCATGCAAGATTCCATCCTCTCCCCACTCCCGGTTATATAGTTTATTTTCCATCCCATTCTCTTTTCTGGAGTGACTCCTTGTTTCTAAGGACCCACCAAGCATAGCATGATAAACACAAAACCATTTTGCTGTTCAAACAAAATTCTATTTCAACCATTTTATTTCTACACAAACCCTCCTGATACCATGTTCCAGAATGTGAGGACTCAAGTGGTTTCTTTATACTTAAACAGACCATTACATTGGAGTCTTACTAATATTGTCTAATCTAACTGAGGATGATGGCACCTGAAGTCCAATGCATCTCCAGAATCCCTGATTGGAGCACGATGATGAAAGCACACTGTCTGACCCAATTTCCAACAATTCCTTGAGGTTTCTGTCAGATGTTGTGTTATTTCAGACACTGGAGTAAACAGTGTATCCTATGCATATTTACTCAGAAATAACTCCCTTTCCTATTCTCAGTTAAATGGGCATAAGCTTGTAGCCTGAACTAGTTAATTCCCAAATGAAAAGCATGCATCCATCACTGAGCTGAAGCCCCCTCAGGTGACCAATAATTCATTCTAAATACTGAAAATCGTTGTTGTGATGAAGCACCTAAAATTGTGCTTGGCACTTACTACTTAAGTTCTACATGTCAGGGGTAGTATTCAGTTGGATACTGGTTCTGATGTAAATTAGGTAGTACTAACATTGAGGATTTCTAGTGCACCTGCTCAAGGAGTTGCCTTGATATTCACTAAAGCTAGCTCCATTGTCTTAGCAGCCCCTTACTCTCATGCAGTGCAGTTAATGCTGGTGTTAGCATCCAGTGGGTATTGCCCTTGAATTTATGCTGTTGCTTCAGTGCACATCCTTTTTCTTCCCGTTGAAATTGTCTATTCATAATAGATATCACAGCAATGAGAAAACTTCCCCCTCCTTATGTATTAAAGGTAAAGGTTTCCCCTTGACATTAAGTCCAGTCATGCCTGACTCTAGGGGGTGGTGCTCATCTCTGTTTCCTAGCCAAGGGAGCCAGCGTTTGTCCGCAGACAGTCTCTGTGGTCATGTGGCCGGCATGACTAAACACCGAAGTGCACGGAACGCTGTTACCTGCCCACCGAAGTGGTGCCTTTTTATCTACTTGCATTTGAGCTGGGACGGAGCAACGGGAACTCACCCCGTTGTGCAGATTCGAACCGGCAACCTTTCAATCAACCAGCCCAGCAGCTCAGCAGTTTAAACCACTGCGCCACCTGCAGTTCCTCCTTATGTATTAGAAACCTATATATCTATATAACACGGCAATTTTCATCAAAATTCCAGGCCAAGAAATATCAGCAGAAAAGAAAAATGTTTGATGCTCTCAAAGGCAAAAAGGTCGTTGCAAGATCTGAATGCACAGGATTTTACTACCCAGGTAAACACTTGTCAGCATGATAAACAAAATAAAATTGTTTTTGGTCTAGAATTTTACCTGTAATCCCTCAGTGGTCTGAAATGTTCAGTCTCAAGATCTGAGAGGTGCCTGATGTCATGCATGAGCAACTTGTAGACTGAAACATCTGGAGGAGCAAAACATCTGGAAGACTGTAACTCCCATCACCCCTAGCCAGTAGAGCAAAGGGTGAGGAACAATGAGATATGAAGGCCAAGATATCTGGAGGACTACTGGTGGCCCACCCATGCTGAACATGGTTAGCCAGAATAAGGTCACCAAACATAGCATTTGACCAGCACTGCAGAAACTTGAATTACATGGCAGTGCTGGCACAAATATCTTGCATCTTTCAACAAGCAGCCAATGTGGTGTAGAGATTCAGGTGTTGGACTGGGACTGAGGATATTTAGTCCCCAGTCAGCTATAAAGTTCCCTGGATTGTCTCTGGGGAATTACTGATTCCCCCCCTGAAGCTTTCTCAGTGGTGGTTGTGGGATAGAATGGAGAAGAAGAAAGTCACAAGCTACCCTGGGCCTCATGGAGAAAAGGCAATAAACAAAGGATTAAATCCAAGTCAGGGGAATTTGTGCTATATTTTGCAAACACTGAAGACTGAGGAGTGGGTGTTGCTAGCTGCGTGCATTTTCAGAATTTCGACAATGCACAACAGGGAACTGGGAGGGTTTGGAAACTGTATAGAATGAAGAAATCCCACTGTCTCTTGGAATTGCCAACCTGACCCCCACTCCCATTTCCAAATCTTAATACCATTTGCACATTTTCATTCTTTCCCCTGACCAACAGCCCAGTACTGCAGCTTTCTGAAGCAAGGGCCTCTTTTCTTTCACCAGGAAAGATACAGTAAACTGCTACAGTCAAGGCTAGCATGACTTTTACACAGACCTTAGAAGAAACCTGTGGTGGGGCTGGAGGGATATGATATGAGTCCTCTTGCCCCCGGGGCTGCTATAAACCTGGGGCTCTGTTATGAATAGATTACATGTTACTGAATTTTAAATAAAGGACCTTCTCCAGGTGTTCTGGAGATAAACACCCCACATGCCCACTCACCTTGTGCCCTTGGTGAGCAGGAGAAACAGGTCCTAGATGCTTCTTGGAGCCTGTCTCCTCTGCATAGAGGAGTTATGTACACATACTTTACACCTAGGGATTCATTTTTTCTTAGGCAGGGTCTTTCCAAGCTCTGTTCTTTGTAATCCCTTTAAACCCTTTTAAAAAACAGACACCAACAGTTGAACATGGGGCCTTTTCTATTCTGAACACCACTAAGTTTCCCTACTAACTTTAGGTCAAAGGATATGTGGATTTCTTTCATAAACTGCAAAACACAGCATATGATCTGAATGATGGATTCATGGACTTCTCCTCTCCATATCTTTCTTTTAGGGATAGTAGTAAGAACCATCACTCCTTTTTATGCACTTGTAGATTTTATTAAAGGGCACACTGAGATTGTACCACTGAAGTTCATTATGCCTGTGGGGGGTGCAATGCCTTGTCCATCCTTGCAGGTAAGTAATTTCCTGTTTCCTAATGTCTTCATGATGCTTCTTAAAAAGGTGTGGGTGAATGTAGCCCTTAGTGCAGTGGATCCAATTTGCATAATCTGTGTAGATTCAAAGGCCACCCGAGTGGGTTGGTTTATCTGTATGACTGAACATCCTGTGCTTAGTGTGGGGGTTTCCATGAAAGGGGATAGGTATGATCCCAAGCAAGTCCAGCCATAAGAACAGAAGAAGAGTCACCATTGCCGTTCGGTTCACACAGTGGCCAATTAGCTACCTGTTGGGGAGCCCACAAGAGCAAGATGAGTGTCATAGCAACTTCTGCTTGAGCTCCCTAGCTGCTGGTGAGCCCATGCACACCTCCTCTGATACTGGAGCTAATATATACAATTTAACCACTGTAAGTGAAGACCACCATAAGCTAAATCCTTCCCTGCACGAACGCACACTTCATTTTCGCTGGTGTTCTGGCAGACATGGGAGTGCTGCTCTCTCTCCTGAAAGGAAGCATTTCTGCTTAAATGTGTGTATGGAGATAGGTTATACTTCCTCTGTAGAGTGAGAAGGGCACTCTGTATTTGCTCCAAAGTACTTTTCATTTTTGCTCTAATATTATATTGGGTTCTTTCAGGAAGGGCTGCTGTCACAATGGGAGGGCAGGTTACCAAAGACCAAACTAAGTAATACTTGTAAACCATCAATGTATTTCACAAATAAACTCATACCCTAAATTACACTGCTGAAATGAGAAATGATCAAGGTAGCCAAGAGTGGGGATTTGCTGAGAAGCTACATTCAGTTCCAGTACTCAGAAGTGAATCTTGGGCTCAGAATTCTTTCATGCAACAAGCCTGTCTCTTATTCTAGGCTCTCCTTGGTGTATCTTGGAGTTTGTGTAACCCCAACTTGAAGTTAGCCTCTCTATAGACTTCTCTTGGCTAACTCAGTTGGCCTAACATGTGATTACGGAATTACATGAGCTATTTTCTATTTCTAAAGTTTATTAAATAAACACTAAATAAATCAATTCTTCAGTGTGGGCATGCGTATTATACAGGGACTGATACAGTCCTAGCACTTCAATTGCTGCTTGTCATGTGGAGAAAGTCTGGATTTGTGATTTTGAGGAAGAGGAAGAGAATTCTGGGGAGGAGAATTTTAACCAGAGAAGAGGCTTTTGTGGAAATGCTTAGCTGAAAATGCATGTACATAAATATACATGATATAATTGTATTGCCCTCTTTCTTCATAAAAGGATAAGACCTCTAGATAATTAAATTTTAAAATGGACTTACTAGATCCAACTCTTATCTGGTTTCACAGGTTGGAGACTATGTATTTGTCCGAATTAGGAAACAGTTGGGAGATGAACATTATGTACCAGGTGTCATTATAGCAACACCAAATAAAGCTGATTTAGAAGATAAACTCTATACAGTTTTGAAATACAACAACCGAAAGGTAGGTAAGCCAAGCAGGTTTACCTGTAAAACAGCCCTGCCTTCTGTTCTTAACCTTAATAGCAGATTTTTTGTGGAATGAAACAGGTAGGTCAGCATACTTTTCCAGTGAGCAATCAGCGAATATGATTAATAATGTGAAATAGTTTTCTTTATTCAGTGTTCCTTTTTTACTTTAACGTTCTTCTCACCAACCTTCAATTTTGTCTTTAAAAAAGAATCTAAAAAAGGGAAATTCCATGTATATTCAGGCAAAATCTGCAGCTCCCACTATTCCTCAATTCCATTGGGAATTGGCAGTATTTTCTTTTGTTTGAACATGCATAGGATTATGCCCTCAATCAATGTTTCTTTGAATACCACAAACTGTTTTTCGATGCACTCTGCAATATCATAATTTTTTATAAAGTTATTCTTTTATCCATTGTACCTTTTCAACAAAGCATTGGCATTTATAAGCTCACATCTTTATATATAAACCTCTTTCATTTATTGGTTGGCAGTTCAAAAATCACTAAGTTTAAAGGGCTAATGAATGTTGGTGTTGTTGCTACAGGAACATTGTGTACGAAATGGACTTATTAAAATCAGTCAGCGAAGATATACTTGCTCCTGCTGCTACATAAACATGACCCGAATGATGGATCACCTCATGTGAGTATGTATATATACATCCATGTGTAAGATGACATACTATCAAACAAGGTTACAAGTTAAATTCCAAGAAGAGTGAGAAAAAGTAATGCTAAGTTTGGAAAGGAAGAAGTGTGTGCTTGACAAAATTGACCCAGATCCACCCTGAGACTACTTTTTGGAATCCACTGGTGTGCTAATGGAAGTTTCCCTCGGTGACAATTAGCAGTGGAAGTGTTTGTCATTTTTGTTGGGCCACAGCAGGTGAAAGGGTCAAACTCTCTCTCCCTCCTTCTCAGTTAACGTCCTGATATTCCTGGGCTTCCCTTGGCTGCTCCGTATATATTTAACAGCACATTCGTATATCCATGTATTTAGAAGCAAGCGCCACTCAGGGCAACAAGACTTACTCCTCAGTAACTGTCTTGTTTTCAACCTAAAAATGTACATCAACTGGATCCATAGAATTAACATGTCTAATTTGTCAACTAATTGGGACAATGGGAAGATTGCAATATGGCCATCTGATAGCAAAGTCAAAGTAAGTTCTTAGTGTCATTACAGAGATATAGAAGTGATATCAAAGTAAAGTTTGCTGCAAACCCCGGAGTTTGTAAATTATATATATCTAGAGATGCATAAGTAGAAGAAATCTGGCAGTGGCAATGCTCTTTGGATTATTATGCAAGAGCATGTGGAAGATTTTGTGAAATGCTACACAGGACTGTGCAGTGGCTTGTGCTAGCAAGTATCTTGAGATGTTGGCATGAGATGATGGAAGACTTTGCACAAGCAGAAGCACATCTCTGTATTTCAGTCTTTTTTTAAGTGTGCAAGATTCTTGCACTAAGTCTTTGCCCTTGCAGGAGAGTACTTCTGAATCCTTCCTATAATGCATCTGTCAATCTGCTTTAAAAATCATATAATTATAATGTAAAATATCCTACATCTTTCTAGCATTTGAGTTTATGGAAATGAGCCCCTCTCTGTGTTGTCTGAGTTATTGTGATGTCATGAACGCTCACTGGCTGTGATATTAAACTGCCAAGACCTGGAGAGAGAAAGGAGCTGTGTAGAGATGGTAGAGAGGCAGACAGAGATGAGATGGCAGCAGCGTTGAAGTAATGTTAGGCTGTTTGTGTTGGAAAATGAAAAGGAATGTGAAGAATGTAAGTGTGTCAATGGATATCAGTGGTGAGTGGGTATGAGGCATGGCACGAGTGGTATCTATGCAGTATGAACAAATAGACTGTGGGTGCAGAGAACATATTACAAACAAACATGTATTTGAATGTCTCAGATCTTTATCATTGCATGTTAGAGGGAAAAAAGCTTATGAAATTTTAGATGCATGATGTTCCTGTGCTTCAGTTAATGTCTTTTTTGAATTCTAGACCTAACGTAAAAGTTGTAAAGCAATTGCACAGAGAATGTCCAGTAAGCAAGAAAGAGAGAAACACACTATCAGTAGGAGTGGACTGGAAGAAGAGCAGAAAAGGAAGAGCTAAGAACAAGAAGAAGCATTATAAAGAATTAGCTTCATCTGATTCTGATGAGATTTTGTTTGTCCCCAGAAGAATAGTGAAACGGAGAGAAAATAGTTCATCGCCACCTCCTCATATTAAAGAAGGAAGTACAGGTACAGTACATAACCAGGAGCAAGACTCCAGTGAGGCCATAAGGTCAGGTGCATTAGAGATGGAACAGGTGGATTAGATGTATTGATCTATCATGTGCCCCATCATTTCAATAGTTTCGCTTAACTAGTACAAATTCTGGATCCTGTCATTCCTTTTGGTGAATGCATGGTCTAGCTGTCCAGATTTTATTTTTATTATCCATCTATATAATCTACCACAAACATTTTTAAAGACTTAAGGCATATTCCCCTTCCGTTCTATTCATTTTCATACAGCCAAATGATTCATCCTGAATTCTGTCAAGCCTGCCTTGTAGTCCTCAATAATTTGGGATGACTTGTGATTGGCTCTCCCACTTTTTTAAAGGTTTTCCTTTTTAACTTTTTAAAACAACCATGAGATGAAGGTTCTCTTTTGATTGGAGAGGCAACAGAGAGGAATGTATGCCTTTGCCCTTGTTCTCCTTTTTGCAAGGATGCCTTATGATGGTGCTTTCCCTTCTAGTATAAAGTCAGAACACAGGTCTGATTCACTCAAGAACACTATTGGCAAAGTGTCTCATGTCTGATGTTTGATTTATGGTTGCTCTTTCACTTGCCATCTGTGAAAGACATGGCACATACTGAGTGATGGACATGTAGAGTTGCATTTCTGATGTACAGTTCTTTCCCCCTTGTGGCAATCTTCCTCAGAGAGTAGCATGAATTTTGGACAGGAAGACCAATAGTAACAACTTCAAAAGATTTATATTAGGTGCTGAATACTTTTTCTTTTTTGTAAATCATGGTTTGCTGTCAATAATACGTCATTTAGGGCACCATCCTATGCATGTTTAGAAAGGAAAATGTTGTACAACTCCAGCATGTTGAAGCCAGTAAGACCTTTTTATGTTTAAACATGCACAGGAATGCTTATAATTTGTCATGTGTGAGCAGATCCTATTTTGTTCCCCAAAGATTTTCTTTGGAAATATTATGCATATCAGGCAGTGTGCAAACCAAGAAAAGGAAGTTGAAAAATGATGCCCATCTGATTGTTTGATTGCCCAACCTGAATTAATGGTAAGATGACTGAAAGTAAAAGTATAGATACTGCAGAGTTGTTCTTTCACAGTCACATAATGATTTGGTTCCCATGGTTAAACAAACCATGGTTTATTAACCATGGATTGTTTGTGAACATGCAGGAGTGAGTGAGCATGGCAGCTTCCACTCACTGCCACTTCAGTAAACAATCCAGTATTCTTGTTCCTGGGTTGTGCTCTGTGACATCTGAATCTAAGACTCTGGTTTATTTCTTTCAAGAACCTACAGTTCTGAATTGGACATGACAGGGAACATCTCAGGATCAGGGCCTTCCTAGGTGGTTTGGTGAAGTGGAAGTGGGTGAGAGGATAGGAGCCCACAGATTTCTTTGCTCCTCACGAACAACCCCCAGTTAACAGACAGTGTTTTTAATTGTGTGAACCAGGTCAGTGTTCTTTATATGGGACCTGCATTATGAAAATAGTTCATGATAGACATTGTGAAAATCGTTCATAGTGGTAACCCAGTTTTATTTTGCAGAGTTACTATGCTGAATGATGGTAGTGGGTTTCTTCAAGATAACTGCTAAATGCTGCTCTTGAATATTTTGTGGAAGTGCTGGATAATACAAATTTTAAAATACTAATACACAAACCAATGGATTCTTATCTAAAGTTGGCTTCTTGATTAAATGTGTGCAGCTTCCATTTACCTGATTAATTGGCCATCTCCAGTCTAGGGAATAATATCTACCACAATTATTGTTAGAATTATTTCCTTTTATTATTCTGTTCCCCCATTGTCAGTTTTGGAGCAGCTATGCTTCTTCTATACTTATTTGTTGGTATAACTCTTTCTCGTGAGACTTCCATTAGTGTATATTGTATGTATAAATCATAATATATGGCTTCAATAAAACAATATGAATAAATGTTTCAGTGCGCATCCATTGTCATAATTGCTTTTTAACAGATTTTTGTGCAGATGCTCTTGCAGATTTCATTTCTTTACATTTCAGGTGTCTTGAGCTACCTCTTTTTCAAATACTATCTTGGCTTACTTATATTGAGCATTCAGTGTCTTTTGGGTGTTAGTGGAATTCAATGAGGCCTCTGTAAGTCATCAATATAAACAAGGATGCTGGTCCTAGAAAAGCATAGCTAAGACTGATTTTTTTCAAAGTTGGGTTGAACAAAAGCATGTTGACCTGTGACTCCAAAGGGAGGCTAGTGGCTTTCTGAAGACACCTGAGAATTCTGTATGGTGGCTGGAGGAAAAATGATTTTGCAATTGAGCTAAAACTGTTGAATTAATGTATCTTGATTGCAGGAGCCAACCTCTTTACACTTTTCACCTGAGAGTTCCCTTGGTTTTTGGACAAGGCTATGATAATACTAGAGTATTCCAGTCTACTGGTCATGGTGTGTTAAGTAGGCAAATATTTCTGGTTCATTTAGACTTGGTTCTTGTCAGTTATAACAGCCTCAGTGCAGCCAAAGTGTCTGTATTTTTTTATTTTTAGAGCATGTTATGCTCTATCTCACTAGCATGTTTGCCCTACATTCAAATAAATGCCAAAAACCAACAACAGGATCTTTCTTAGTGGAGAAGAGTAAAGTTATTTTTGGCCAACTCATTTTCTAAGCCAATACCTGAAAACGTGAGATAATCTTAATTTTTTGTCATTACTCATAAATATACTCAGAATATACACAAATATACACAGAACTTTCTGTGAACGGATCAGCCATGTCTTTCACTGATGCAGTGGCATCTGTACATTTAGTTCAGTGCACAAATATTGGTAAATGTTGCTGCTCAGTTGACACAGAAGCTTCTTAAAACTTTCAAAATAAGCTTTCTGGATATATTTATGCATGGGACTCTTTAGCCTACACTTCTAAATCCAGTGCTTTTGATCTACTGGGCATAGTTTAACTTGTTGATTAATGACAATTTGGCAAAACTGAAGAGAAGATAACTGAAGGATAAAGTTGTCTCCTGGATGCATTGATATGACCATCTCTGTTCTTGCCATCCTTGTGACCTTCACAACAGTAGAGATGGACAAATGTGCTTCATTTTTTGTTCAGTAAGTTTCTAGTAATTGTACGTTCTTTATTCATTAATTTGCCTCTGCAAGGGTTTGTGTTAGATACAGTTCAGAGTCTTAGGTTAACTGTTAGATTAGTGCATTTTCTTGCTTTCTTGTTCTAAAGAGAAGGTGACAATTTGAGCATGGAACACCTTTATGGAATAACATCTGCTGTCATTTCAATCTTAGCTTCTGTGCTGGAGGTATCCACTGTGTATCGGCATATGTACCTTCAGATTATCACTAATCATCCCGATTAAGCAGCTATGTGCCCACTCAGTATACCTGAGGTGCTCCAGATGAGGAGGTGCCAGCTCATTCTTCTCATCAAATCTGACAGATGTTCTGCATGTTCATTGAGGAGGACCATCCAGAGGTTTCCCTGCCAGTAGAGGAAAGCTCTCAGGGATTGTAGGAACACAGCAGGAGCAGGAGTAAACAGACCTTGGGCTTGTGGGACCTGCTTTGAGTTTTTACTAGAATTCCACCAACTAGAAACAGGTGCAAAACAGTGACTCAGGAGGTGGAGCCAGTTCTTCATTACATTTATAGATGGTGCCTATAGCTCTGTTAGCAATACCCTATAAAGCTTTACATTGGAACAATGCCATCCTGAGATATTTATATAAAGGACAGCATACAAAAGCTTTTAATTAATTAATAATAAACAAGCTGTCTGTAAGAGGGCAACTCTGCATCTGAGTTACTATAGAATAGACACTTAAATCCAAATCTTTGAACTTGGCTAGCAGAGCTGTACAAAAGACTTGGTTGTCGCAGAGGCATAATTTGCAGAGAGAAACATGGAAGATCATAAGTGGATGGTGCAAGGGTAAGGAAAGTGTGGCCTTCTAGATCCTGTTGGGCTGAAACTCCTATTGGTTGGCATATGATGTGGGTTGTAGTCCAACAACTTCTGGAGGACCAGATTTTCTCCATCTGTGGACTGAAGAAAGGCCAGCCATTATAGAGGGGAAAATAGTTAGTTTTTTACTAGCTAAATAAATTACTGGGAATCAGAAAAATCCTTGCTGGCTTACTGAAAATCACACAGAGATTTGCCAATAGATTCCATTCTAGCTTTTGCCCAGCCTTGATTTAACAAAGGAGTGCAGCCTATGTTCCCAGTGGGGGTGGTCCGGATGGTCCCCCACCAGGCCTTGTGCAGGCTGGATGATATCAGTTTCTCCATGTTGAGAGAGGCATGTACTGTACCTCTCTCAACATGGCAACTGGAACTTGGCTGGGACTGGGAACAGCAGCTGCTTCTTCCAGTGCTAGCTGAACCTCTGCCTTTATGCAGCACCCAGCATCTTGGCTGCCACCTGCCTCCCTGTTCTCTGACTGGAGCTAACAGTGGAGTTTCCTTTGCAGGTTGAACAAATTCTTTCAGGGGCTCAGGTGTGGAGGTCAGACTATGAACCCTGAAGAAACTATAGGAGGCTTAGTGGTCTGTGTGTTCTGCACCCCTCTTTTAGAGTGTAGCCAGTGTCCATGGAAAGGTACCAACTTGATTGTTGTTATTTTCCCCATATTACACTACTATTTAAGAGGAAGAAATGTTACAGACACCTAATCCTAAACATTGATCAGTATGTATATCTTCTCAGGAATAAATCCCACTGATTTAAATGGAACTCACTTCCTGGTAAGTGTGTATAGGATAGCGCTCTGAAGGCACTTTACATTCACTGATTAGTGGTGATGGAGAGAGAGAGAGGGAAGAAGGGGTTTTAATGGGAGTTGCAGAGACTGACTGTCTTTCTTTTGTCTCCCTATTTCCTGTTTCCCTCATCTTGGCTAGAAGCTTAACAGCTTGATGGCATTCTGTAACTCCTGTGGGGTTTCATAAATTCCTTCATTCACTGCACACGCTCTTTCTTAATCTCACCTGTTTACATCTTTAGTCTTTACCCAAATCCACAGACTTGTTCTCCTCTGTCTCATGATCATTACCACTTTCTTGCTTGGCAAACAGTGTGCAAGTTGGCTGGGGCATCTCCTGCTCTTCCTCTACACCAGCACCATTGCCTGGCCACAGCAAGAGGCAGGGGAACAAGCAAGGTGTGATGGTGAAGAGGAGCAGCAAGCTGGGGTGTGTGCATGCTCTGAAGCTGGAAAAAAAGCAAACTTTTTTTGTTTACTGTCTCTCTCTCTCGCTGCCTCTGCTTCTGTATCTGTAAAAATCCGCCCTTGCAGATTTAAAGATTAGAGCAATTTATCTGGATTGTCCCTTTTCATATCCATGGTCCCTGGTGTGCAATCATTTTCTTAAACATATGTGGATGCTTTATTGTTGGTGATACATTCTGTGTTCACATTCCTAGCAGGCCGAGTACCTGCTTTATCACCTCTCACCAAGTTCTTTACCTCTCTCCCGATCTCTTCTTTGCCAACAGCATCTTACTGTGGCTCACCTTACCGCCCCTTTCCACGGGGTAGAAAGCAACGGCTGCCTACAAACTCATCCGAGTTCAGGCCCCTCAAGGGTCTCCGTCGCCCTCACAGAGCTTCTATGCGGCAGCAGAGTGCCCCTCAGCTTGTTAGCAATGCCTTCAGCAGCAGCAGCAGCGGCAGCGGCAGCAGCAACAGTAACGATGGGCCCCTTTCAAGCATTGAGAAGGTGGAAGAGTTGGCAAGACGTCTGCAGCAGTACCATATAGCTCAAAGGAAAGGCCACCCTGCCAGCTGCAAATAAAAAGCAGTACTAGCAATGAACAGGGCGAATGTGGAGTAAGTTGCCAGTTCTGAAACTATTATATGCACACTAAATAAACCATTTAATTTGATACTAAACTTTTAATATCAGTATTAAACACCATCACAAGGTCTTTGTAAGATCATTTAAAACCTGGTCGTGTGGTAAAAACTACATGACTTATACCAACGTGGAGTAAATAATCACTTTGGCATGTACCCCATAGATTGTTACAGTCCTTCTGTTGTCCTCCCTGCTATTGTCATTATTGTTGCCATCATCACCATCATCATCAATTTCATTTCTACACTGGCCCATAGCTGCTCTAGCTGCCCACAATGCACAAAAACAAAACATAATACAAATATTCTAAAAACAAAGGAGTATTAAAATACATTCAAAATATCTAAAAGATACAGTAAAAATGACCATGTAGAAGGAAAATCACTTGGGACAGGTAAACCTCTCAGGCCCCTGGGTAGCTAAGTAAATCTTGAAAAGTTTCATTATAACAGGCTGTCTTGACCTGGCTGTGAAAAGATAACCAATTTGGTGCCAAGCAAGGGAGGTTGTTCCATATATAAGGGGCCACCAAAGAGAAAGGCCTCCCCCTTGTTGCCACTTCCCAAGTCACCCTTGGAGTTGGCCCTTGGAGGAAGGCCCCAGAGGTTGAATGTAGTGCCTGAATAGATCACAATTGAAAGAGGTGCTTCAACAGATAATTACAGTCCTAAGCTATGTAGGGCTAAAACCGGAACCTTGAATTGGACTCAGAAGCATACAGACAGCCAATGCAAGTGGGCCAGAACTGGTTATCTCTCTGGCTGCCACATTCTGCATGAGCTGTGGCTTCAGAACTTTCTTCAAGGGCAACTCCATGTAGAATGTATTGCAGTTCTCTAGTTTAGCCATTATCAAAGCATATATTGCTGAATCCAGGATATCCCTGTCCAGATAGAGCCCTGGCTGGACCACCAGCCGAAGCTGGTAGACGCTTCGCCAACCCACTAGGGCAACCTGAGTCTCAACTGACAAACTGAGGCAACCTGAGTCTCAACTACCAAAGATGGATTAAGGATCACTCCCAAGCTATGAACATGCTCCTCCAGAGGGAGTGCAAACCCCTCTGGAACAGGTTAGACACCTTCCATCTGGTCAAAGGAACTACCCACCAACAACATTTTGGTCTTGTCTGAATTGAACTTCAGTTTGTTACTCCTCATTCAGTTCATTCTTGCAGCCAGACACTGATTTAGCATATCCATAGCTTTGCCTGCCAAAGTTGAAAATGAGAAATAGAGCTGTATTTCATTAGTATGCTGATGACAATACATTCCAAAATTCCAGATGACTCCACTCAGAAGGATACTATGGTCAATGGTATCAAAATCACTGAGAGGTCTAGGAGTACCAACAGGGTCCACACTCCCCCTGCCTCTTTCCCAGCATAGATCGTCACACAGGGTGACCAAGTCTTGATCTCCAGTTGAAATGGATCCAGATAATCAGTCTCATCCAAGAGTGCCTGGAGTTGATTGGCAACCACCTTCTCAAGAGCCTTGCCCAGGCAAGGAACATTTGCTACTGGCCTAAAATTATTATGGCATTCTGCATCAAGGAAGGATTCCCTTAGAAGTGGTCTCACCACTGCCTCTCTAAGGTAAGGTGAGATCACTCCTCATAAAGAGGCATTAATCACCTCACTGGCCCAGCTGGTTATTCCTGCCTTACTGGCTTTTATAGGCCAGGAGGGGCAAGGATCCAATCAGAGGTGGTTGCATAAACCTGGCCAAGCACCTGGAGCTGTACCAACTGAAACTCATCCAACAAACTGGACCAGCCTGTGCTCTGGATTTCTCCTGCTTCAATTTTGGGGTCTACGTTCTGGTGGATGCAAGAGATTTTTTTCCTAAAAGAGCCCCATGAGTAAGTTATGGTGGACTGCTGATGGTTCTTAGATGTCCCTGGGGCCAGAATGTAATAAGCCCCGGACAAGCCTGAGAAGCTCTGCTGGGTGATAAAGGGAGGATTGAATAGAGGCAGTGAGATATTGTTCCTTTGCCTCCCTCACTGGCTCCAAAGATGCCCTCTTGTAAGTAGACGCTAGGTTTTGATTGCATCCACTGGGAGGGTTGCTCCACCTGGACTCAAGCCATCTCTTAAGTTGGGGTGGGGAGATCCACAGAAGCCAGGAAACCACCAAATGATGAGTGGTTGGGGAAAGGAGAATGGACCCTCTTGGAGATGCTGGGAGACTGGATTGAGACCCCCAGAAGGGCAGATTTGGTCTCTTGGCCTGAGGTTTTCCACCCCTGTTCACTACAAAATGAGGCATAGCTAAGCTGCTTAATTTATACATATGGCTTTGCTCATGAAAGTCAAACGTGTGGAAATCAATTTATATGGAAGTGGTCAATTTCTGGAAAGATTTAATTTGAAGATCATTGCTTACATTACTTTAAGGAATCAAATTCCGTTGAGTTCTTTTTTCTAAGTTTGTAAAATTTAAAACAATGTCCACTCATCCATGTTACCCTTAAGGAGTAGAAGAGCAACCTGTTTGGGTTGTGCCCCCTAACGGATTGTGAGACAACCCCCATATACTGGTTTGAAAGATGCAAGCCCACCTGATCCCTGGGGTGTTTCTTGGAGATGTGTCAATAAATCTGTAGCTCTGAGCAAACACTGATGACCCATGCTTGCTCCTGGACTGTAGATACCATAGAAATTGTCCTGTCACCATTTTTTCCACTACCTCAAGTGACTGTGTCAATGGCCCTTTCTAACTTGCTGTTCCCGGGCTCTGAGCATCAGCCACCTTAGAATTTCTGATGGAGCCTACACAGCAAGTGCATGCAGCTTCTTTCAGGCAGAGCTTTGCAGGTGGAATTGGTAGGGAGAGAAATGTTGGGGACACAGCCTGTGAGCATCCTTTTTTGTCCCTTCTACCCTCTTACAATACATAGAGGGTAAACTAAGGATTTAGTCAAAGAAAGAGGCTTGGGTATCATTTATCTTAGGTGATGCCTTTCTCAATGCTTCTGAAGCTGAGCTGCCCCTACCATATTTTTAAAATTAACATAGCCTCTTATAAGTAGCTGGGACCACATCAAAGCAAACACTTTATGGCAGCTGATATCTGCATTTTCAATGAATGCCTCAGGTCTGTACAGTGACTAGCCTTAATCACTAGCTACACCTCCCGTGGCAGCCATTTTGTGCTAGTGCCCTGGACAGTTTCTTAGGTTTTCAAATGTGCTTATGGACTCAGCAAGGTTTCCTACTCTGGATCTATTTGATCTAACCACCTGTTAATTCTTTTGATCATGGTTTAGATTTCACACACAGAATTTATGAACTCACAGAGGAAAGGAAATGACAGCGGCACTGGACTATGATTCATTAGCTTGATTTCCCAGGACTCATTATCATGAAAGCTCAGTGTCCCACTGACAGTCATCTCCTTCAAAAAACATGCCTGAGTTCAGCTCTGCTTTTTCCAAGGGCTTGTCAACATATATTTTAGTAAAATATTGTTTTCTTCTTTCTGGAATACCGAAATAGAGATTTAGAATATATGATATGATATGTATACAACTCCTGATAACAGCGAAAGAAGAAAGCACAAAAGCAGGACTATAGCTCAATATTAAGTAAGCAAAAATTATGTCCACAGAAGAATTACAGAACTTTACTGTTAATAATGAAAATATCAAAAATTGTGAAAGTTTTGCATACCTTAGCTCATTTTTATTTATTTAAAACATTTTTATGCCGCCCCATCACAACAAAGCCTTGGGGTGGCTTACAACAAAAAGAAAGTTATGCAAAATATACAAAAACAAAATTATACAATAAAAATATTAAAACCCAGTGCATCTTGGCTTAAAAACTTTTAAAATCTTACACAATAAATTTAACACTTAAAATAAGTCTTAAATAAAAAGGTCTTAGCCTGGTGCCGAAAAACAAATAATGACGGCGCCAGGTGGACCTCTCTGGGGAGCGCTTTCCATAGGTGGGGCGCCACCGCAGAGAAGGCCCTCCTCCGGGTACTCACCCTCCTAATATCCTTCACAGAGGGTTCCCAGAGAAGGGCATCTGTTGTTGATCTCAAGGGGCGGGAGGGCATATATGGACGCAAGCGTTCCTTTAGATACCCAGGACCCAAGCCGTTGAGGGCTTTATAGGTCATAACCAACACCTTGAATTGGGCCTGGACTTCAATCAGGAGCCAGTGAAGCTGATGGAGAAATGAGGTTATATGAGAACAACACCCAGTCCCTGTCAGCAACCTGGCAGCATTATTCTGCACCAATTGAAGTATCCGGACCGTCTTCAAGGGTAGCCCCACGTAGAGCGCGTTGCAGAAATCTAATCGGGAAGTTACCAACGCGTGTGTCACTGTCGCCAGGCAATCATTCTCCAGGAAGGGACACAGCTGATGGATCAGCCGAAGCTGAAGGAAAGTGCTCCTCGCCACCGCCGTCACCTGGGCTTCTAAAGACAGCTCAGGGTCAAGGAGCACTCCTCATTCATCACTTCAAAGGGAGACTGCAGCCAAGACATATGAAGACTAAGACTTGGAAGGGCAGCAATGAAGGAGCTAGAAAAGATTGTCAAGTGTAAAGATGTTTTACTGGAGACAATGTGGGATCCAGGATGCAGCCTTGTTTGACTCCCCTTGTGACAAGCACAGGTCCAGTGAGTTGTTCATCTGGGGAGCATTGCACCTTCAGCCAGGTTTTGTTGTACAAGTGTATAATCAAAAAGGGAAGTCTAGTACAGGAAATTGAGTCAAATGTAGCCCTCAGATCAATAAAAGCTGCATATGATACACCACCTGGTCTCCAAGAATATTTATCAATTACTCTAAAACAAAGCAGTGATCTACTTTGGATCTACCTAGTCTGAATCCTGCTGGAATCTGCCAGGATAGTTTCATCAGTTATCCAGTCAATTAGCTTGTTATAAAGATGCCTTGCATATAATTTATTAATTACACATAGCAAACTAACTGGGTGATAACTTGCTGGATCCAATGTGGAACTTCTTTTAAATGTTGGAACTACAACTACTACAGTATTTCAAACTTCTTGCAGTTTTCCTGTTGAATCAATAAATTTGAATAAAAGCACCAGGAGAGGAGCCCACCAATCAATATTGGATTTCAGAATTTCTGGAGGTAGAAAATTAATGCCCTTTGCTTTGTTACTTTTTAGGGGAAATAGGCAAAGCATGACTTCATAAGAACTCAGCATCATCCTGTGTGTGTCCACTCCAGAGCAAG